AAATTCTATAGAATCTCAATTATTCATTGTTTCATTCCAATAATGTATTTCGAAATTATTAATTTGAATTAATGATAAAATGTATTATATTAACAGTTTTCATAAATAGCTTGTGAAAGAATTATTTGAAAACTTAATATTCATTTAAATACGATTTTATAAAAATGCGAAATCTTTATATATATATATATATATTTCTTCTGTGCACGTTTTTGTAATTAAACTCCTCCTAAACATCTGGACTGATTTTAATGAAATTTGTGTGTGTGTCTTCAGGTGGATTCGATAATGGTTTAGCGTTACAATTGGGATATCTATGAAAGTGGTATATCTTAATACGATCAAAACAATATTAAATCATTCCCTATGGAAATTCTATATAATCTCAATTATTCATTATTTCATACCAATAATGTATTTCGAAATTATTAATTCGAATTAATGATAAAATGTATTATATTAACAGTTTTCATAAATAGCTTGTGAAAGAATTATTTGAAAATTTTATATTCATTTATAAAAATATGATTTTATAAAAATGCGAAATAAATAATATAAAATCATTATAATTATTTATTTGTATAATAATATTTTCTATAGAGAAATAAACCTTTTTTTTTCTTCCTCAAAATGACGAATTAACAATAATCAACGTTTAAATGATAAAAATCGGACAAGTATAAAATTGAAATTGAATTTTTCTTCGATCCTGAGCCAAGGATGATTTATTTTTTGCTTAAACATATTCAACACATATTTTTACAAGCATTGTTCGAGTCTTACGTAACAAAAGCATTTGCGCTTATGGCACCGTTCGTCGTGGCATGATTTGGATGTCTATATATGCTCGATTAAACGTTCGTCCCGACCTTCTTACGATTTACTTGTCTTACTTTCGTATCCCGTTCGTTTAAATAGTGCGTCGTTGTCGTCGTCACTGACAAATTTATTCAATTAATTTTTCTATTATCGATTAGTTACCTTTTTTTTTCTTATATCTTCTTGTTTTAACGAGCTCTTAAGCTCCATGTGACAAACAAACAAAAATAATTGATACCACATGAACGTGACTGATGCTTGATAAGGTAACCAGGAAATAAAATTGCTATGCGCACGTGTCAATCCTTCTTAATATTTTTCAGTTCGAATACCTTTATTCTTTTTTTTTTTTTATTTTTATCTTTATCACTTATTTAATATTCCAAGCATGAAATGCACGAATGATACAATTTATTGGCATAGAAATTCTTTTAACGTTATTTCTTATTTTCAAATGCTTTTCTTATTTGTTAGCGAATAAATTATCGATTTAATATTTAATTAATTTAAAAAATAATTTTTTTTTTTATAGAAGATTTCTTAGTAGCACAAAATATTGAAAAATATTGATTGATTGAATACATGTGTATTTAATATTAAAAAGAGATTCAATGTCTTTACACATGTATTCAATATTTTTTTTAATATTTTGACCTTTACTACTTAGGGTTGTTTCGTAATTAAATATATAAAATTAAATAATGTCAATGTTATTTTTCCTATTTCTTTATTTTTATTTTTATCGCAGCTGTTGGATTTTTGTCGATGTTCGGAAGCTCGAATGGCGCCAGTTAGGAATGCAATAGGCGTGAAGAAAAAATAAGAAACGGAAAAGGGGAAAAAAAAACGTTTGAAGAAAAGTTGACGAACCAAAAGTTAAGGAATAGAATTGGGTTTGGGTTCGAAAGCTATGCGATGTTTGAAGAAGCAGAAGAAGAAGCAGAAGAAGAAGAAGAAGAAGAAGAAGAAGAAGAAGAAGAGTGGAACGATTTCACGTCGTCGTGTCGTATGAAACACGAAAGACGCACAACTCCTCGCGTCTGCTCAGATTCGGCTGTCAGGTTCGATCTATTAATATACGCGGTGAGCTGCCTGCCTAATTCCTAATGGAATATTCGTACAGATTCCTCAACATGGGCAATCCTAAAAATATTCGGCCCTGCTGGAACGCTAAACGTGGAAAGTAAACGTTGTTCTCTCTCTCTCTCTCTCTCTTTCTTTTTCTTTTTTATCGTCCCTCCCTTATTTACTTTTACTTTCTTCTTATTTTTCATCTATTATTACAGATTATTATTATCCAATATTATCTAATTTATTGTAATTATAATTAATTATTCAAATCGTATTATATTTTGTATTTTGTTCAATATACAAATTAACAAATTAGAATTATGCAATATACAATAAATTATTAATGTGTGTTTTATTTTTTGTATTATTGATACTATAAATTCGTCTATTTATTTTATTTAGTGTACCACATAGTAGCATTTGTAATTTTTCACGAAGTCATCTTCAAAAATATAATAAATTGATAATTCCGTATAAAAAAAATTGTATTAAAAAAAAAAAGTGATCTGTAATACTATTGGTAGATACGTCTAAAGATGTTAAGAATATTCGTGAAAAAAAAAAATCTTGAAATTTGTGTTGAAAAATCAGCAGGAGGGCCGAACTTTGATCCGATTTGTGTTAAAGCACCGTCCTTCGTAGAATTCGTTTATTCCTTGAAAACGTCTAACAAATTATTATTTTAAGCACTGACTAACGATTTGTTTTCACTCGCGCATCTCTTAAGAATCTCACGAGGGAATCGTTCTCGCATCGACAATCATTACGTCGTCGTCGTCGTCGTCGTTTTCCACCTTGAAATCAAAATTCTACGTGTCGCTCAAAAGAATTTCAAGAATTTATTTGACGTGAACGTGTCATTTTGAAATTCCACCACACTTTTAAAAGGATTACAATTATTTTTTAAAATAATAATTGGTATTATTTTTTCTTTAATCGTTTGTTAATGGAATTATTGTTGAAAAAGATTGTGCATTTGGATGAAAGAAGAAGAACAATCGATATTTACTGTTTAAACGATTAACGATCGTCAAACTCGATTGTGATCTACGACGCATATCTTGCTTACGATTTGTTCTTTAAATATTCAAGATAATAATAACCACCACAAGTTAGCCAGTTATAACATTTAATAGACTACACTTGTATTCTTTACTAAAGTATACGATAATATGATAATATTAATTATTATAATTATTTCAATAAGATCTCTTAATATTTCATACATCACAAATTATCTAACAAAACGATCGATCTATCAATTTTATAATTCGATCGAAAGATTGATCAAAATAACATTTCAAATGAACTTTATTCGAACTAACAACACGTCGTAAGAGAAAAACAGTTCAACTTGTTTCTGGCAGATGTTCCAAAAATTCAATTCAATTTACAGAATATAATAATCCTTCTCACCTTTTAATGTTCACCTGTCAACGTCTCGATCATTATCTGTGTATCCTTTAATTTTCTAATTGTTTTTGTTTTTTTTCTTAATTTTTTTTTTTTTATTTTATTCTCAACACATACACAATTTCCACCTGTGTCTCTTTTCTAACTTTTTATTAATCCCAGTTGAGTTTCAAATCAAAGTTGATTTATCGAGTTGAATGAACAACACAAATGAACGTTTCTTAATACGTTATTATTCGATTAAGTGGTGTTGTTTGTCTTCAGGGTCGTCGTTTTGAAAGTCGACGTTGAAGGAAAAACGGCACTGCACGCAAAAGCACGGCACAACACTTCACGGAATACTGACAGTCGGGCCAGAAGAAGAAGAGGAAGACTCGAACGTGGCCATGTGACCGTCGTCCGTGTTCGTGCTCTCCTTCTCTTATTCTTCTCTCATTTTCTTTCTCTCCTTTTATCCCTCTCTCTCTCTCTCTTTCTCTCTTTTTATTTCTTTTCCTTTCCATCTGTATTTCTCTCCCTTACTCTCTCTCTCTCTCTCATACACAAATATACATACATMCATAGAAACACACAGATAGGTACATGTAAATACATACACGTACATATCACTGCCACCACCCACGCATCTGGCAACTTACGAAGAAACGCCCATCTAAGCCACTATACGCACAGCAACGTTATTTCGAGATAAATAAGGACGGAACGAGACCTTACCGAGACCGTTTGGCTCTACGAAAGAGAGAAAGAGAGAGAGATAAAGAGGGGTACGCATCGAGACGTGAAGTTTCGACAAGTAAAGAAGGGGAAGATAAAAAAGGGTAAAAGCTTCTATAAAAGGAAGATTCTCTGATGGTTCATACGATTACGAAATAGATTAAACGTAAGTAGTATGTTCGATAATCAAGGCCATATCTAATATTACGGTTTACTTTTTATTTTTATATCTTTTTAAATGGAATTATTTTCGTTGTTTACTTTCATTTTTTTTTTTTTTTTATCATGTTTCGATGATTATTATTTTTTTGATATATGATATATATATATATATCAATATACACATATACATTATGTGTGTGTGTGTGTGTGTGTTTAAGGGATAGTATTATTTAATCTTTTTTTATTATTCATAGAAACTAAGGGAAATGAAAGTGAGCTTAAAAAATTTAGATATTGAATTATCGATTTTTTTCTTAAATATTGGAAAATTATATGAATTTTACGTTTAAAATTAGGTTGGTAAGCGAAAGGTCATTATACGATACTTTTTAAATAAATTCATAAATATTATTATATAAATTATATGTTTAATATGTATGTAGAATCATCATCTAGTTTATTTATTTAGTATTAAAGAAAGAATTAATTTGTAATCGATTTTGATGTTATTTACTATAGAAATATTTATATTTAAAAAAAAAAACAACTATACTTAAAAATATTAGGTTGGGGAAAAAGTTATCCATTATTTTTACGTTAACTTCCAACCTTTATTTAACATACTTCTGGTTGTCTGATTTTGATCAAATATGCACAGTTTTGTTCGTTAATTTATTAACGTTTTAAAGGTAGCTTCATAANTGTGTGTGTGTGTGTGTGTGATAAAGTAGAGAGAGAGAGAGAAATATATATAGGTATATAGAAAGTAGGAAAAGAGAAAGAGAGAGGAGAGAGAGAGAGAGAGAGAGAGTGGAGTAGGATCGTTGGTGTTAGAGAGCGCATGCGCATAAAATTTCCCGGGAATCGGGTCTTTCCGGGTCTCCGACACGGATTTCCCACTTTCGTTCGTCACTTGAGCGTCCGAGTCTACGACGTGCGAGACAAGGCAACAGGTGACAAATATTCGCGCCGAAAAGAGAAGATTTATTATCAAAAGAGAAAGAAAGAGAGAGAGAGAGAGATAGAGAGAGAGAGAGAGAGAAAGTTACTCGTCTCGATATAATCGATTTTTCTTATTGAAAAGAATTTTCAAGGATAGTTGTATTTCATTTCCCATCCGTCGGGATTTGACACATACGTTCTTCTCGCTTTCATTTTGTTCCCCCGACACGTTTATTCTCTTCTCTGATTTATTTCTGTCTTCGAAGGTATCCGAGAGGAATCCAACGAACAAAAAATATAATAAGGAAAAGTTTAGTTTCATTATAATATTTATCAAATCTATCGATCTATTGCAAAATGAGTGTCGACGACGTGATCAACTATAAACCCGACGAGGACGAGGATCTTTACGCACTTTTATCCTGCGACGAATCTTCCACGGTAAGAATATTCTTTTTTTTTTAAGAACTTTTTTTTATTCACACCACCTTATCCCCTTCATCCCGTTTCGTCTAATTGTCAATGATTGTTTTTATAAGAGATTATGTTGTCATTTCTTTTTCATTTTTTTTTTTTTTTGATATTTATATCTGCTAATTATTTGACACATTTTATTTGATTAAAGTATTTTTTATTATTATTATTATATAATTTATAATTTAGTTGTTTAATCGTTTTTCATAAAAAAAATTTCTTTAAAGCACGATAATTGAAATGTGGATAAAATTATTCTTGTATTAGAATTATATGAAAATATGAAAGCACATTTATAAAAGCATTTTAATGAAAAGTTGAGAAAACTTCGTTGATTATTATGTTAATGAAATTAAACGTGATAATGTGTAATTGAAATATTTATATTACCGCGTGTATCTCTCTGTATATTGATATTATTAATAAAAATATTAAAGATTATATGTTTAATTATATGTGTGTTATATGATAAAAAAAAAAAAGTTGTAAATATACGACTTAAAGCTGACGATTAAAGTTCTGACAATTCATCTACCGACCTTAACATGCTTTTATGTCTACTATTTTCCACGCGACTTTTTTCCTTTTTTTTTATTTTTTTTTTTTTTTTTTTTTGAAGTACCCTTTAATACAGCTTTTAACGTAAAACGTGTACACGATCGAGCCTCTCTCTCTCTCTCTCTCTCTCTCTCTATTTTAAAGAGCGANCTCACTACTTTTCGGAAAAAACCTCACTACTTTTCGGAAAAAACCTCAGGATTTCATTAAATAGCTTCTAATCAATATATATCTCTTTTTATCATTTTGAATCATTTTAGACATACAGAATCCTAATAGATCACTTTTTAAACATTTTTTTTTATTTTTTATTCAGATTATTTGCAATTGGATGTTGTGAATTGTTATTTAAGTTTCTTACGACCGAATATTATCGCCAGTTTTGTGAAAATTTTCAGAAAGAAAATACTAGGGGAATTTTAAATATTTCGAGGGAATGCGGCTTGGATTTCTTGCTGGCAGAGAGGTTTTTAGTTATCAGATTTTTTAGTTACCTGAAGCAACTTTGCTCATTTCTTCGAATTGAGAACTTGCATACTGTCTAATATGTTATGCATTATATGTTAATAAAACATAAAATAATTTTTGAAGGTTGTAACAATATTATAATAATAATAATATTATAACAAATAAACCCTACAATTATCCTACACCTGATATTCTGCATTCGTCTCATTCTCTCGAAACTTAGTTTATCGAAGGTTTCACTTCTAACACGTGTGATCTGCCCACATGATATTTTTTTTTTTTTTATTAACAAAGAGTCATGATTATCTCTGTTAGTTCGATAAGATTCTAACAGATGGCGGTATAAGGTAATTCGTTGGTTTAAAGATGCGTGTTATCGGACTGATTGTGAGCCACAGCACCCTTAGTATACTTATAATTATAGGAGATATAGCAAAGTGGCATATTCCCCAAACTCACCTTATTCTTTTTTATTAGCTTATTTTTATGTTTAAGATAATAAAATTATATTATCTGATATATTCTCTATGTTTAATTAATTTAATTTGCGGTTTTTTTTGTTTTAGTATTATTTAGCAGAAATTTAATATATCGTTGAAAATAAATAAAATGATGTTTATATTAGGTTGGGGAAAAAGTTATCCATTATTTTTACGTTAACTTTAAACCTTTATTTAACATACTTCTGGTTGTCTGATTTTGATCAAATATGCACAGTTTTGTTCGTTAATTTATTAACGTTTTAAAGGTAGCTTCACAATGGCTGTCTCATAAAATTCTTGGTCCCTATTTGCGAAAAACTCTTGTGATCGATTTTTACAATCTTCTTTTAATGTCAATTTCTTATCAATAAGAAAATTTTGCAATGCAACAAAAATATGATAATCGCTTAGTGTAAGGTCTGGTCTATATGATGGATGCATCAAAATTTCCAAACCAATCTCCTGGAGGTTCTGGGAAGTCACTATAGTCATGTGTGACCTGGCGTTGTTCTGATCAAACACAACACCTCTCCTTTTRGCCAATTCTGGCCGTTTCTGGTCAATCGCTTGCTTTAAATGATCCAGTTGTTGACAGTAATGATCTGAATTTAGTGTTTGGCCATATTTAAGCAACTCATAATAAATGATTCCTTTCCAGTCCCTCCAAATGCACAGTAGAACCTTCCTGGCCGTTAGTCCTGGTTTAGCTACCATTTGAGCTGCTTCATCACGCTTTGACCACGATTGTTTTCGCACAATATTGTCGTATGTGACCCATTTCTCATCCCCAGTCACCATCCGTTTAAGAAATGGGTCGATTTCATTCCGTTTGGCCAAGGCTTCGCAGATGGAAWTTCGATGCATCATGTTTTTTGGTGTTAATTGGTGTGACACCCAAACATCGAGCTTCTTTTTGAATCCAGTTTTGCGCAAATGGTTTAAAACTGTTTTATGGTCGATCTTTAGCTCCTGGGCGATGCTACAACTACTAAGAAGCTGATCAACTTCGATTATTTCTGTGATTTTATCGACATTTTCGACGATAGGCTAGCCTGTGCGAGGTGCATCTTTAACATCAAAAATACCTGAACGGAATCGACGAAACCAAAATTGCACGTAATTATCTGNAAATTGTTTGATTGATATTTTGCGAGAAATCGATAACTAAAGTCATCTAACGAAAAAATAATGGATTACTTTTTCCCCAACCTAATATACGTACAATAAAAATATATTAAATTTAAAATACCTACAAATTATTTTAACAAGAGTTAAAAGGATTAAGAGCTGTAACAAAAGGTATTTGGGAATTCAAGTAACCTCATTATGAAAGGAACTTCTAGGTTTTTTCTTTTTTCTTTTTTTTCATTTTCTATCACGAGTAAAACAAAAAAAGGGTTTATAATTAGGTTATATCATAAGAAGATGGTTTGGAATTATACAGGGTAAGGACAAAAAATTGTTTTCTAATGAAAAATACGTTTTTGGTAGTTATTACTGGCTGAATGTTACCAAAAAAGGGAGGGAAAGAATTCGACCTAAGTTTAAATGTGTAAAACATGTGTCGACCAGTCGTCAATGTCTTTCTTTTTCTGAGTCCCTTTTCTTTATAATTTGACAAATCGTATCTACCATTGGACGATGATGCCAGTTGACCTGCTGGTCACATTTTACGATGTTCTCCCATCTTCACCAACAACGACACTAGATTTTCGTAGCACGAGCCAAATTTCAAAAATTAAAACTGGTTTCATTGAAGTTCCTTTCCAGGATTTTTCTTACCTTTTTCATCTTTTCATTTGTTTATAAGAATTCTTTATTTTTTCGTAAAATGAAAATAATTCTATTCAATAATATTTCTATGTATATAGGATGAAAGTAAATTACATAAGAATTTAGGAATTAAATAGTTAGGTTACAGGAATGTATTAACATTTCATTTAAAATCTCTCGTTTAAAATTTTCTCCGTAAAATAAAACAAAATTTGTTAAGGCCGGCGATACATGTAAAATAAAAAAAAATCGAATTTTTTTYTTTTCATAAATAATTAGTTTACCATCTTAAAAATATGCCTGTAAATTTTTAGAATTAAATTCGCATTATTTATCGATTAAAAATTCATTTAAGTGCTCCGCCTCTACTCGGCACTAGATGCCAACGCTAAACTTTGAACGCGTTTTTCTCAAAACGACTTTTTTCAAAGTGTGCTGAAAGATAACTCAAAAAGATTTCAACTGATTCTTATGAAATTTAGCACACATTTTCCTTATAGTATTAGCTTCTAGTTGAGTTTTAAGAATGCCACAAGAATTTTCAAAAATTGCCATTTTTAACCCAAAAACCGTTAAAAAAAAGGGTCAAAAATCAGACTTTTTTGTATGAGTCGTGCCAATTTACGATTTTTTGACTTTTTAGTTTTTCTTTGTTCAACTAGAAGATACATGTTTTATGAACACGCTCCGACCCTTTTTTTAATTTTAGATTGCTAAAAATCACCATGATTGATTCTTATATTTTAATATGTAATGAATAAACATGCTGAGTTTCAAAATGATTCATTTATTTCTTCCATTTKAAATAAGCCTCTGTAAAACGGTCAAAATTTAGGCGTTTAAAAACGTTGTTGTAAAATTATTTTCCTCTCCTATAATATTATATTATTTTTCTCAAGATAATTTATGTATATTTGATTTTGTGAGAAAATATTTCTGAAATAATAATATTGAGAATATTTTTGTTCTTTTACATTAATTCTTTTTATTAAGATAGTGATAAATCAAAATTACGAAAAAAAAAAACTCGATAACGATGAAGTCAATGTAATACTCGATAAATATTTTAATGCATTGAATATCCAACGTTTTATTATKATAAACAASGTAGTATAAAAACCCGTGTTATATGTAAATAAAACTATTCGCAATAACTTTTACACGTTGTATAGGTGTCTAATATATTTGTGTGTTACGTAGTACATTTTATAGTTTCAACATTTATTTTAAAAATAAATTTATTGTTGTTATTATATCAAAATAAACTAACAAAAAATATCATTTCTTTATATATATACCAAAATTGATATCATATTTTAATTAATACACATAATTTTGTGTGTAAAACTAACTCAAAAACCCACATAACATAAAAATTTTCTAAAACATTTCTTGAAAAGTTTKAAATCTTTCAAAAAGGGTTTCTAAAAAAATCTTTCTACAAGATGAAAATGTCCGCGTTCAGAAACTGATAAAATAATTGCCATTTTTGACCCAAAAACTGTTTAAAAAAAGGGTCAAAAATCAGACTTTTTTGTATGAGTCGTGCCAATTTAGAATTTTTTGACTTTTTTGTTTTTCTTTGTTCAACTAGAAGATACATGTTTTATGAACACGCTCCGACCCTTTTTTTAATTTTAGATTGCTAAAAATCACCATTCTTATATTTTAATATGTAATGAATAA